TTAATCTGGACGTCTAGCATGCTGTCAGTGTAACTTAAACGTGACTCTGGTATCGGTTGAGAAGTTCGATTGACGCAGATTGCAAATCAGGTCAGGTTAAGAAAAAAACACGAACAATGGAAGTACAGGGTGACGATAAATCCGATGAAAAATTGTTGACTACAGAATAGACACGCGTACTGCGCACGCGTACCAGCGGCAGTCTGGTTATCGACACATCACAGCTATCCTAAACTGCTAATCAAATCCACAGACGGCGCATACGTGCCCTCGATCAAGGCACTCCGACTCCTGCCCCGGTGGCACTTGTACGTATCCGCCGACGGAACCTGGTGTGTGCCTCTCGTCCAGCTGTAAACTTGTTCCAACCTATTTTCCATTCATTCCGTACAGGTTACAATAACCCCCCCCCCCTTTACTGTCGTCCACTCTCTCTCCTTTCTATCCGGAACCGAGCCTGAAGTTGTTGCGGTCTGCCAACGGCTCAAGATGTCGCAACAACTTCTCCATTACTGCTTACTCCTCTTTGTGCCACCACCCTTTAGGGTCCTAAATTACAATAGGCACGACAGAATATGACTACGCACTTCCCTCCGACAACGAAGGTGGTCTGATAAGCACCACTTACATGTGGGTTTAAAAATGCCCTGAGGGATGCAGCCCGGGGTTGTAGGGCAGAATCCAGTCCCCGGGCAAGAAAATTTGTTTCTTCAGCTGGCTCCTCACGTTCATTTTTTGACTTAAAGTTCTCGAATTCTGAAAACATTTGGCCTGTGATTAGCAAACGGCGCATGTTCTCGGGAACTCCTGCCGAACTGTGTATTTGCTATGGAACCCCCTGAGAGCATGTCTGTTCACTCGGACAGTATTCAGATCTACATAAATAGCATGCGAAACTGCCGTTCGTTGACACTGGTATCGATTGAGAAGTTAGGTTGACGTAGATAGCATGTACAGATTACCGACCCGGATCTCTTACTTTTGCTAACCTGAGCTCAAGTTTTGAGCCCTCAGTGCTCCGTGCAGCGCGCCGTTGGGAGAAATTCGCCCTACGGACCGCGTCAACACAAGCGCAACTGAACTTTCTTCATCGCTGCCTTGACCAACAATTGACTCCAAAATGTGTCACCTATAAGCCGCCTGTGAATTCAACCTTGGCAAGGGAGACTTTGGCGCGACACGGCAGAAGAATGACTAGAGTACTTATACATGATTGCCATCAAAGACTGCAACGTTACAGCCTAGAAATTGCTCAATCTAAATCATATTTCGAGGCAACTAATGGTGAAGCATCGAGGGACATTGAGGAAACCATTCTCAATCATGTTCGAAAGGTACGAGCCAAAAGAACAAAGAATTATCAGTAAAATTGGCCAAACTGAGACCAGTTCGCTCAGATCACTCGTCGGGCGACCTTGTTCACAACCTTTCTTCTAAATCCCTCACCAGCACACAACTTGCAGTCCTGGGACGTGGAGCCACTTTCAACACAGCAGACGCTGCACCCCCAGAGTTCATTGCCGCTTTTGAATGTGTTCTTCAGCTAACACAAACGTCAGAAGAGACGAAGGAGTTGATCTGTCACAAAACCTCCTCTTTGTTAATGCAACATAAGAAGAGCGAAACTCTTAGTAAGGAAGAACAGCAAGCATTAAAAAGCCTAAAAGCGGATAAAGACATAATCATCCTGCCGGCTGACAAAGGCCGTTCCACAGTAGTGCTTGACAAATCCGATTACCAGAAGAAAGCTTTGAGTCTACTCGACGACACACAGTCCTATAAACTTCTTCCAGCCAGTGAGATGAAAAATCTGCTTACTCAAATAAACAAAAGCCTGGCAAAACTCAGAGCGAATGGAGCAATCACAGCTAAAGATTGGTTTCTTATGAAACCCTCTGACTCTGCCGCCGCGCGGTTTTATGGTCTTCCGAAGGTACACAAAGCTAACATACCTCTTAGACCCATCGTCTCCCTACGTGGTACTCCTACATACGGTTTGGCAAAATGGATGTTTGCTCGTCTTAAGTTCCTGGCAGAAGGATCGCCAACAACAGTGGCCTCTGCTAATCAGTTCCTTGAACGTTTAAAACATCTGAAACTAGAGCCAGATGAATCCATGGTATCGTTTGATGTCGTTTCACTCTTTACCTCCATTCCACAACAACTAGCGATTGACGTTGTGAGACAACTCCTGGCTGACCGCTACAACGAGAGAGACAATCCCCTGAAGACTGAACATCTCGTGGAGCTCTTACGCTATTGCCTAAAAACATATTTCACCTTTGGTGGACAAATGTATGAACAAATCAAAGGCACCCCTATGGGCTCCCCCATATCAGGGCTGATTGCTGAAGTGGTTCTTCAACGGATAGAACGCTTGGTGTTCACCAGGTATCAACCAAAGTTCTGGGCTCGTTACGTCGATGACACCTTCGTCATTGTCAAATCATCTGACGTGGAGCACCTTAAAGAATTACTGAACTCAGTTGACCAGAATATCCAATCCACGATGGAAGCCGAAACAAACAACCAACTTCCCTTCCTCGATGTCCTTGGGCGTCGGTGTGCATCTGGAGAATTACAAACTACCGTTTTCAGAAAAGCCACCAACACAAGACAAATACTGCACTTCAACAGCAATCACCCCCTCTCTCACAAACGCAGCTGTTTCCGTACTCTCTTCCAAAGAGTTGAAACACACTGCAGCACACCAGCCGACAAAAGAGTTGAACGACAATATCTTCATGATCTCTTTCAAACCAATGGATACCCAAGCCACTTCATCAAGCAAAGCAAGCGCCGAGTGAACAGACGACGGCCACAAGAAGAACAACCCGAAGTCTGGAGGGCTATTCCCTACATTAAAGGAGTCTCCGAAGCGGTTTCAAGACTGCTACAACCCGCCAGGGTAGGTATTGCCCATCGACCCCAGGCAACAATTCGTCGCCGTTTGATGCAACCCAAAGACATACTGCCACCCACTGAAACCTCAGCAGTTGTCTATCAAATACGTTGTAAGGATGGAGACTGCAACTACGTTGGGGAAACCGGACGGAAATTGCAGACCCGCCTACATGAGCACAAACTGGCAACACGGAGACTAGACCCAAACTCACAGCTTGCGGCTCACATCGGGGAAACTGATCACAGTTTTGATTTTCAAGGAGCAGCCGTCATAGGCAGAGGCACCCCAAGGACTGAGCGTCTCACTCTTGAGGCTTGGTACTCAGATGCTAACTCCATCAACAGGCATCTAGACCTTCCTTCGGCCTATAAAGTCCTACGTCACTTTATACACCGTGACGAAGACAAGACAATCACACGGAGCCTAAGAATGCCGAGCAAACACGGCCTGTCGACCACTTCACCCAAAAGGGGAAAGCAAACGCAACCAACCCCAATTGAGGTGACGACACGTATTACAGGAGGCCACCAACATTCATAGGGACGACCAGTAGGCCGAGGCAGAGAAGGAAGAAAAAAATCGATCAGCCCAGGGCCAACTAATGCGGCAGTCTATTCAAAAATGCTGATCGATATTTTCACTTGACGCTTTGACAATGGAGAGCAGCCCCAGCTCTTCGAAACGTCAGCCAGAAAAGTCCCCCGATCCGGTGGGTAATTCATTCTCCTCAGATAGCAAATCAGGTCTGGTTAAGTAAAAACACGAGCAATGGAAGTATAGGACGACGATAAATCTGAGGGAAAATTGTTGAGCACGGAAATGAGACGGAGGGCGGAACGAGAAAAATCGGCTCGCAAATGTAGACTGCATAAGGACCTATACTACGCAGAAAAGAATAAATTTCCCTAGGCTAGTTGCGCCAATCAAATGAGTCGTGTAGAGGTAGCGTGAGCATAACTCTCTACGAAATGTGTGTGTGTGTGTGTGTGTGGTTATTTTCAGGCCGCTTCGAGCTACGTGCTTAAGCAGATGACCTTGTTATCTGGATTACCTCAACCGCAGGCAGAATAGACTTTTATCGGTAGACGTCATTTTCACGTGATTCTGGGCATTCTTCATCGCAGTCCGCATGACGTGATCTGATAGTTTGGCTTGCACTGACTCTCGGCCCGAGGTTTTCCCGACCCAGCTGGTTAACGAATGCAAATAATTCAGATGGCACTGCAATCGCCCTGAAGCGGAGCTACGGAGCGAATTCTGACGCCTAATACTTTGAGCATATGGGCGAACAACGTGGAGAACCCGGATTAACGAACAAGAGCTAACTCTCCTTTCAAGATGACTTCTTGTTCCTCGTCTTGGGCCCGTTACTGAGGTAATCGTCACGGCCAATTCAAAACAGGCACGAAAATTCCTCGCGGCTTGCTACTCTTACATATGCAGCTGCACCGACCGCTGTATCGACCTGAACGCTCACTACGAGCACCTGCGGAGCGAAGTCTGGCGCCTGATATTTTGACATAAATTTCAACGAACGTCAGTTCCGCATGCTATTTATGTAGATCTGAATAACGTTCAGGTAGACAGGCATGCTCTCAGGACGTTTCATAGTAAATACGCAGTTCGGCAGGAGTTTCGGAGAGCATGCGCCGTTTCTTAATCGCAAGTCAAATGTTTTCAGAATTCGAGAACTTTAAGTCAAAATATGCACGTGAGGAGCCAGCTGAAGAAGCAAATTTTCCTTACTCGCGGGCTGGATCTTTACCATACAACCCCGGGCTGCATCCCACAGGGCATTTTTAAACCCACATGTAAGTGATGCTTATCAGACCACCTTCGTTGTTGGAGGGAAGCGGGTAGTCATATTCTGTCGTGGCTATCCTAATTTAGGACTCTAGTGGCACAAGGAGGAGTAAGCAGTAATGGAGAAGTTGTCGCGACATCTTGAGCCGTTGGCAGACCGCAACAACTTCAGGCTCGGTTCCGGATAGAAAGGAGAGAGGGTGGAGGACAGTAGAGGGGGGGGGGTATTGTAACCTGTATAGAATGAATGGAAAGTAGGTTGGAGCAAGTTCACAGCCGGACGAGAGGCACACACCAGGCTCCGTCGGCGGATACGTACAAACACCAGCGGGACAGGAGTCGGAGTGCCTTGATCGAGGGCACGTATGCGCCGTCTGTGGATTTGATTGGCAGTTTAGGCTAGCTGTGATGTGTCGATAACCAGACTGCCGCTGGTACGCGTGCGCAGGTACGCGTGTCTATTCTGTGGTCAACAATTTTTCATTGGATTTATCGTCACCTTGTACTTCCATTGGTCGTGTTTCTCTCTCAACCTGACCTGATTTGATATCTGCGTCAACCGATAACAGTGTCACTTTTAAGTTGCAGTGACAACAGGCTAGACGTCCAGATTAATTATCTAACCCCTGACCGACATCGCGTTGTCACGACCAGACAACCTACTAATCAGCCGATAACCGACATTCACACCTGTGACCTTCCAACCGTACGGCTAGGCGATATTGCGTAGTTGCTGGCTGGGCTTAGCGGATTTCCGTTTTGCCTTGATGCAGAGGACCAGAGGGGTGACTAAATTCCACCATGCTGTGACTGCTCTGCCAACGGATCTCATCAGCGATCTCTGCGACATTATTGACAGCCCGCCAACAGACTTCACTTATAGAAGTTCGAAAAACGACCCCAATCTTCCGTACCTCGCATTAAGGCAAAAGTTGCTGCCAGTAAAATGGTTCTGGTGATGGGACGTCCTCACAGTTTATTGGGCACCCTGAACTGTTGGTAGATGTCTGAGCGCCTGCGTTAAGGGTTATCATTTTTGCTGCATTATAAGCACTGTAACACCTGTTTTCATTCGTCGTTTTTTCGTTTCCTGCTGACAATTTGGCTACCGTGAAGTCGGAATTTGACTATGGGATTGACTTAGACAGAATGCGATCCACCACTAGCCAGTGGACTGCTGTTCTATGCATGATCTGCAGGATGTCTCTCGCTGTTTGACGTCCATGCGATAACCTATCCGTTTTAGCAAGTGTAATGGCCTCAACGGCTATCAACTCTCACGCATCTTATTTTTGGGGGTAGGATCTTATTTCGTGGACGCACCTGCAGTAGACAAGCCTCAGTCGCCTGTCATAGGGGACTGGTGGTAATAGGGATTTACCACCACCCCCTAAGCCTAACCACTTTCAGGTGCGGCTACGAAGCAAGATTTTGCCGAGTTGAGCCAATTGGGTGTGCTCTACAATGCCTCTAGACGCATTTTTGGCGTTTCTTCGCTGTCATAATTGGGACGCTGAATGGGTGGTGCTATCGGTTGGCTTCCCATATATGCCAATGCTTCAGTAATTGGTCAGTTATGAGAATATTCCCAGGTTACATTTGAGAAGTCAGGCTTACAAAGTCATTTTTCTGGTAATTGATCATCTGGCCCAAACAGTTAGATTCAAAGTAAAAATAGGTGACTTTCAAATAGGCTGTGTCTAGGGGGTTTATTAACACTCATCGGTCCCCACGTCACCCACATGGCAATGTCCGTTCGCTGTGGTCATTGGGGCAACGGGGAATGACAAGGGCTGTGAGTGATGTTTGTAGGTCCACTACGTGAGGTTCACATCGCTGTCACCAGGGGGTTGGGTCGGCGTTGGCCACGGAATTGAACTCGGACCCGCGTGTTCCCTACTCTCACTTCTTTCCGACAGCTGCAGTCAATCGATATTGCTCCTGAGCAATCTTTTACGCGGCAACAATCTTGACTGTCCTTTTCCTGTGGGCGCATACCTGTGTGTCGAAATAAGACTTGCGAATACAACCACCTTTGGCAATAAAAGCGAACAGGTGAGTTCGAGGAAACATTTCAGAAGAGCGGGATATATTGGCCGTACAACCAGGCGTCTGGAAAAGAGAATACGCTAACACATGCCTGCCTGGCTAGGTAGAGGTGAACATCGATCGATTTCGAGTTCAATCCTCGCACATCTAGTCGATACGAACCATCAAACCGACGCTAAAGAAGCTTTTAAAGTTATCTACCGGACACCGGTACACTACTCTAAAGGCCTGCGCAAACGGGTGCTAGCCACAACCGAAGCAGTGGCCATTCGACTGACGAACCCAGCACTCTGTTGTCAGAAGACGCTGACGCAAGCAGTCTGTCTGCCCTGGCCGACTCCAGACGGTGATCGCACGCCGTACCGACGCACTGAGAGCAGTCACACGCACTCACAGCGCCGACAATCTAACCGGAACCCCTCTACTTCCCC